GACAAAAGAAATTACGTTCGTTTCCTTTTCTACTTTGGGTTTCGTTTTTGTCTACCTTGTGTTTTTTACTTTACAGACCCTTCTGCGGTACTGTATCTTGTTTTCCTCAATGCATATGGTTACCTCATCTTATGCTTTTATGTTTGAATGTGCCATACTACAATGATCTGTCCCCCTTCACCATCGATATTTCTTTTTGATTGAATACCTCGAGGGATGTTTTTTTTTTTTTTGTTATTTTTGGGGGAGGTTTTAGACTCGAAATTCCAGATGGATCGGAACCCCACCATGCTCAGAAGCAATATGTGATTTTATATCCTTTTTTTTTTTCTTGTTTTGTAGGTGATGTTTTTTTTTTTTTTTTTCTGTGTATTTTGTGTATGGGTTGATTGTTTTTTGTTCTTTGTGTGTTTTGTGTTCTGTGTTTTTTTTTTTTTTTTTTTTTTTTTTTTTTTTTTTTTTTTTTTTTTTTTTTTTTGTGCGTGATTTATTTAGCTTCTCTTCATTGTTGTTTTTTATCTTTTTAGGTTGGTATTTATATATATTTTTTTTAGTTTATGCGATGAGCGAAAGTTTACGAGCAAGTAATGTTATGTCTGGTGAACCAAGGTGGGTTAAGTATCATGTCAATGGTCTTTTTTTGCCCTCTAGTGTTATGCGAGTGAAGAAGGCTATAATGTTGCTTGATGATGTTTTGATAAAAGATGTTGTGGTGAACGTAGAGGATGGTTTAGTTTGTGTAGAAGTTTTTAGTGAAGATAAGAATTTTGAGTGGCGTATTCGTGATGTAATCGTTTCTCTGGGATTTTGTGTTAAATGTGAATCTGCTGTAGTGAGTAATTTTTTGATTGAAGGAATGTCTTGTGCATCGTGCGCTTCACGAATTGAATCCCATCTACGAAGCCAACCTGGAGTTTTTAGTGTTAGTATTAACTATGCAACGATGAGTGGTCAGGTTGAGCATGATGAAAAGGTAATTACTGCCTCACAATTAATGGAGGAAATTGAAAAAATGGGTTATACCGTTACTCTTCGAGCTAATCTATTAAATACGGCTCACCCATTTTACGGTACTGATACTGGTGATATAAGACTAATGATTGGTGGTATGTCTTGTGCCTCTTGTGCCTCACGAATAGAGTCGTGCGTGCGAAGGTTGGATGATGTAGAAGACTGTGTGGTAAATTTTTCAACAGCGACTTGTACCGTCTACTTGAAACCAGGGGGTGATATTGAGCATGTTAAAGATAAGATCGTTTCCATGGGATTTACTGTATGCGTTATTAGCGGGTACGTGGAAACAGGTGGTGTTAGTGAAACAAAGAATGCTTTGGAGCGAGCGCGTGAAATTGAAGAACATAAAAAAGGTTTTATAGGATCTGCATTGTTAGCAGCTCCTATGGGAGTAGTTATGTTGTTAATGACAACTACAAATGTTCTTGATGATATTTTTCTCATGGAATTAGTGGAGGGATTGCAATTTTTGTTAACTACACCAATTATATTTTACTTTGGATCTGGTTTTTTTACACGGGCGTGGCAAAACCTGCTTCATAATTCGTTTACGATGGATACATTGGTTGCTATAGGTACTGGTGCTTCTTACTTGTATTCTGTGGTTGCATATTCTGTGACACTTTTAACGCAACATCACATGATGACATATTTTGATACTGCTGGTATGTTACTTGCCTTTATGTTACTAGGACGTTACCTGGAGGCGCGAGCCAAACGAAGTACTAGTGATGCCCTAATTGAGTTAATGAATTTGGTTCCTCCTGTCTCTATTATTGTTACACCGCAGGGCGATTTAACTGTACCATCCACCTCTGTTAAAAAAGGCATGCGAGTTCGTGTGTTAGCTGGTGACCGTATCCCGGTGGATGGCACTGTTGTGGAGGGAATGACAGATGTTGACGAGCAGATGGTAACAGGTGAGGCAGTACTTAAAACAATAAAGCCTGGATCTAAAGTAATTGGTGGCACAACCAATGTCACCTCAATGTTTGTTATGCAGGCAGATAGAATTGGTGAGGAAACTATGCTATCCCAAATCCTTCGCGTAGTGCAAGATGCCCAGAACAGTAAACCTGCTATTCAACGAATTGCTGATCAGGTAGCTGCCTACTTTGTACCGATTGTCATTATCTTTTCTATATCCGTTTTTTTGATTTGGTTACTTATTGGAGTTTTTGATGTGTATCCATCGGAGTGGCGCCGTCACCAGGAGTCAATATTAGTTTTCGCTTTGGATTTTTTTATTTCAACAATTGTCGCAGCATGCCCTTGTGCATTGGGACTTGCTACTCCCACTGCCATCATGGTAGGAACCGGTGTCGGGGCTAAGAATGGTATATTAGTGAAATCTGGTGCTATACTAGAAGTTGTACATCGCTCTCGTTGTATTGTATTTGATAAAACGGGAACAATAACAAACGGCAAACTGCGAGTCGTATTTAATAAGTGTTATGGAGAAGATGTCAGTACGGTAATAAATGCAGTGGGAAGTGTTGAACAGCAATCCAACCACCCTGTGGCAAAGGCAGTAGCTGCTAGTATTATTCCAGTAAATCAGGTGCCAATGTACGAAGTATTAAACTCTAAAACACTTAGTGGTTTAGGTGTTGAGGCTTTTGTACGTAGTATCGAAAATGGGGCAGAGTTTGAAGTGCATGTTGGAAGTCTTGCAATGATGCAGCAGATAAACATAAACATATCACTTGAAGTTCAACGTACAGTACAGCGACAAGCCGACCTTGGAAGAACCATTGTAATTGGCGCTGTAAATGGTATAGCAAGACTTGTCGTTGCACTCTCAGATGAACCAAAAGACGAAGCGCTAGGTGTTGTTCGTTACTTACAGAATCAACACTTCCGTGTTCTTTTGGTAACAGGTGATAACAAGAATGCTGCTGCACACGTAGCCTCTGCCGTTGGAATTCATCCTGGAAACGTTTTTTCTGAGGTTCTTCCCACGACAAAGGCAGATATAGTAAAGCAACTACAAGAAGAAGGAAACCACGTGATTTTCATTGGGGATGGTATAAATGACAGTCCAGCCCTGGCGCAAGCGGATGTTGGTGTTGCTCTTGGGGCAGGAACCGAAATAGCTATTGAGGCGGCTGATGTTGTGCTGCTGAACAACAACTTAGTCGATCTATTAAATCTGCAGGCGCTTTCGGTTGTGACAGTTCGGCGGGTTTATGGGAACTTTATTTGGGCTTTTGGCTACAATATTGTCATGCTTCCACTAGCTAGTGGAATGTTGTACCCACTACTACAGATAAAACTTCCTCCCATAATTGCAGGATCAGCGATGATATTGTCTAGTTTAAGTGTTTTATTGTCAAGTCTTTCAATCCGCTGTTTCAAACCCTTTTTACAAGACAGATTTACTATTACTTTTTGAGAACTAAAATTTGAGAAAGAATAACAACTATATTAGTCTTTATATAAATATATATATATATATGTCTGTAATGACACTTTATACAAGTATACGTTAAAACACAGAAAAATATCCAATTGGCTTACCAGCACAATTATCTAAAGCATCACTTAGCAATAATATACCCAAAAATGAATAAAAAAAAAACAATGTTCACTAGACTAACGAGGACAATTTCGTCAATGACATTCATTTCATACTTTTCTTCTTAAGACACACCAAGATAATACCAGAACAGCAATCCAGAATGCCAGAGACAGCCACTGCCACTGCCGTGTATGCGTACCAGGCGCAGCACCCGCTGGAGGAGCGTTGCGCGGAGAGTGCCCGGCTGCGGGAGCGCCACCCCGGCATGGTGCCCGTTGTGTGCGAGGCCGCGGCGGCGGGGCGCAAGGGCGGGCGTGTGTGCCACACAATGGTGCCAGCCACCGCAACGGCTGCGCAGCTCTGCGACGCGGTGCGTGCGGCGGCGGAACTCGGAGCAACGGCCCCACTGTCCCTCACCACGAACGACGGTATGCCGTCCAGCAACGCACTCGTTGGCGAGCTCTACGAACACTGCAAGAATGCCGACGGCTTTCTCTATGTAAAGTACTCTGTCGAGCAGAAGTTTGGCTATGATCCTTATTGGTATAAAGTATGTATGGACTATTATCATACTTTCGTATGATTTTGACAAAAAAATAATAAGTGCCTTTGTTTTTCTATTTTGACCTTCCTCTCTGTCCAATTTTTTTTTTTTTACGGGCAAACTTCTCTTCAGTACTGATTTTGTTTTCTTCAATGCATATTTACGGCATTGATTTAATGATGTTTGTTCCTATCATATAACCATAGTTTTTCCGCCTTTACCATTGATATTTCATTTTGATGGGATTTGTAGAAGGACGGTGTCTTTTTTTTTTCTGTCATTTTTGGGGAGTTTCGTAGACTCGAAATTTCAGTTGGATTGAAG